ATAAAACATATCCGTCATGAAAAAGTGTTAATTGAAGTGCCTATAGGCTACAATTGTGATGATGTGTTATGTCTATGTCATCAAGTGACTAGATGATGCGAATTATACGACCACCAGAACTCTTTATAAAAGGAAATGTTCAACATTTGAAAATATTAAACCAAGTATTAGATATAATGTATCAGCTCACGTATAGCTAAAGTATACCGTTAAGTGAAATGGGCAATATATTTGAAGGTAAATTTATCGATAAAGTAAATATGTTTTTGAATATCTCATTGTTTGATTGTGTCATAGACAGTTGGTATGACGTTATGGTGCTGCCGAAAAAGCCGTGAGAATTTGACAACCAAGCACACACTTGCAGCGCTTCAACCTCCCGAGAGGTGGCCGAGGAGTCGTGGTGGTGCTGGAGGTGCTTTTTAAACCACATATCGTCGTGTGCTCGTGTTTTAGACCTTTCTCTAGGCGTTCATGCATATCTATCCGTGAGTTTAAGATGTTCATTTGTATTCACACACTTGGCTCTGGCGCTAATCTTATGCAGTTTGATTATTAATCTTATTTCCATGGTAACTAGCAAACACGTCCAACTTTTTACATTATTTAGCACGTAACCTGATTTGTGCTTGAACACTGTACAACATGCTTAACATTGGTTCCAAGCCCATTGATGTTCGTTATATCTGGAATTTGTGCTCACGGAGGCCAGATGTGAAGGACTCGACAATTATATTTGTCTTGGCCTTAAACGCCGCATGGCCAATTGGATGGCAGAATTTGAATGGCGTTTCTATGGCGTAATGCATGGCTGAATGCCTTGATATAATCCGCATAAAATAGTTTGCACATTTTCGCGGGCGCGTAGCACATGAAACAGAGGGCTATAGATCTTAAGAACGGCAGGGCTGTGAACTGCACCGGGTGATCTTCAAGATGGTATTATAGTTCAAAATCCTAAGCACATGTGAAACATTCCCTTTTAAACCCGCCAGGCAGTGGGGGTCAAATTGACCCCCCCAAAGAAGGTTTTTGCAAAATGGTTTCCGAACGGCGCGGCGTAGCCGCACCAAGTTTTGCATAGCTGTAGACAATTGAGTAGCGGTTCGTCTGGCATCAAAAACTGAAATTTGCTTTGTACGGACGCTGTCCTATGGCAGGTCAAAGTAAGGGCATGGTCTTAGCGAAGGCAATTTCTAGGGAATCCTTCAATCTGATTCAACGACGGGGCGTTAGACGAAGCCACACATCTCCGAGATGCTTTCCTAGGCAACACAACACTTGAATGAACAGATTGCATTGACCTTAGGCCAGGTATGAAGATCAGGCCAAGGTCAAAATAAACCTTTTTATTGCTCTAGGGCTTGCTGTATGTGATAATTTCTGGCGCTCATTTCGAATTCATTGACAGCAGGAATCGCATTATACACCTCCCATAGACTTCTTTAAGGCCAATATAGGTCAATGACCCGGGATGACCAGGTCGAAATTTTGTTTTAGGAACATAATGCCTAGCGTAATATTTGTCGCTTATCCAAACGCAAAACTCAAAGCGGTGTTGTATTATTTTGATAACCATGACCTTCAAAAGGTCAAACGAGGTCACTGACCTTAGATGAGCATGTGACCTTTTGCTTAGAACAGTTGTCTAGGTTCCAGGGCCCTTTTAGACCAACCTGGAACTTGACAAGTTTGACCTTATTTTACCCAAAGGTCATGACCTAGGAGCACTAAACGTTGACCTAAGTGAGTTCATGTACAAGTCAACACACCCTGTGAACTTAGCGTCTCTAGCTCTGTAAAATCCTGAGATCTCAGGGCAGTCAACTTGACCTCCACCCGAGCGAAGGGCGTCCAACCGGACACCCGGGCGCTTGTTAAGTAACACCTAAATATTTGCCGTCAAACGTTGTCCTGGCGAGTTCGAGATATCTGAGGGCGTCCGAGGTCCGTAACTGTGGGCATGCCAAGATGGTCGATCTATATCGCGGCTAGTTGACCATCTGCATCATAATCGCCAGGTAGGTCAGGACGAAGCTTAGAATCGCCAAAACATTGGATTTCTGCACGGTAAAATATGACAGGCGCCCTCTGCCCGATGTAAGCCGGGTGGTTAACACTGCCTCGGTCTCATGGAAACTGCCACCCCCGGCCATTGCTGTTCTTGTTTCTAAGATGCGAGCACGTAGGCCCAAAACTGCTTCGCGTAATGTATTTCACATGATCATCCTGACCAAGCATGGCCAAGTAGCAGACGCCTCGCTTCTGCTGGCTTTTTCATTTTTGACCTTATTGTGATCCGCCCTATTGAAATTTTAAGGAAACCGCTTTCATTTTCCGGGCAAGGGACCCAGCGGGCAGACCAGTAGGAGGCACATTATATTTCCCGATCAGAGGCTTCGGGGCTATTCGGGTGCAACGTGTGGTACCCTCTGGATGTCATGCCGGTGACGCAGGGCGGGATGCCCTGGCTGGTACAGAAAACCTAAGAGGGAAACATCATACATTGGTGTTTACCGGACGCCGGAGGCCTCCTGACCCGGCCATTTGCTACCAAATAGGCGCAGGGCACTCATGACTGCAAAAGATCCCTATTAGTCGCAGATGTCCAATAATTGGCAGAGACTACAGTTCGGCATAACGGGCTCTTTGCTGAAATGGGAAGGAGAGCCCTCCGTTCGGTATCAGGGGCCTGCCGGACAAAGGGCCTTCCATTATTGCGTTGTGGACTCACATCGTTAGCTTCCATCAGCATTTTCGTTGCCAGAGGGCCTCGACCAACGCAACAGGCCCCCGGCTTTTGGGGTCCCGTCCCTGTCTCTACCTAACAGATGTTGCCCTGACTCGAGCCCCTTACAAACATTGGACCCTCTATCAGGCGCTGTGGGTCTTTGACCCACAAAAGAGCATTTATTGCTTTAAGGGTCCCGACCGATGCAAAATGCGCGTTCCGACCTTGTTCCTGTTTGGGAATGAGCTCCCAGGGCTCAGACCAACCGGAATCGATTGTTCAGCGTTGTTGGTCTATGACCGAAGTAGAGACCCGCGCCGTCACAGGGTGTCCCCAGTCGGTGCAAGATGCCCTTTTTCTGACATTTGATGGCCCGGCCCGGCTTCAGTAGTCGACATGGAGTCGACGTTATGAGGCATCAGACGTTGCTGGATGTGCACGGCTTCGGGAACGAAGAGCGTAATTGCGCGACTAATAGTGTCTGCCATGGAAATCCCTGTTGATGGCCGTAGGGCGGTGTGCAGGTGCATCACTTCCATTAAGCATGCTTGACGCGGGCTGTGTTGGTGGCTAGCTAAGACGATTGCTGCTATTGGTTTAGTGGGCTGGTGTCGGTCGTCAGGTTTTTGTAACTGTTTTATCGAACAGTCACGTGAAGTTTCATGTGAGGTTTCACCAAACATTCAGGAACATTTCAAGGGTTCCTCCAAATGTAAATGGCTAACACTCTTATCACGCTTTGTTTTCATTTTCCGGTAGACCGCAGCAAAACAACGCAGCTTGCTGCGGTCTGTACAACTTATCGACGCCAAACACTCATGGCATCTAGAATCCGTGGACAACGACACCCGTGGTATTTAGGTTTTTGGGCACCGTGGACACCACTCTGGAGTTTGAACTTGTCTGACCTCATTTAACCCAAAGGTTATGATCTAGAAGCCCAAATCTGGCCACAAGCGAGTTCACGTGCAGGATAACACACCTCTTGAATTTGGTGCCTCTAGCTTTCTCAGCATTGACCCCCACCCGAGCAAAGGGTATTCAACCGGCCACCCCGGCGCGTGTTAAACGAAACGAAAGCACAAGTCACAAAGCATCTTATTATAGCGCACATATCACAGACATGAAGCGTAAATGAGTCTTGCAGTTTTGTCGAATCGCCATGCTCCTTAGAAACCAACTGCCTATTTCATGCCTCTCGCTTCCACTGGCATGTTACGCTTTGATTTTTTCGCTTCAACATGATGCATTCGCACTCTCCATCAGTGTGTTCATCCATTTATGTCTCCTTATGCCCCTGTTTGTCATTTGTAGATGACGCCTTTTGTGCACAATTGATCGAAATACTCTGAGACTGAGTAGCCGTCACTCAGGCTTCCCGGACGGGCCTGATCGCAGCGTCCGGCCATGTTGAGCACCCCAGACTGAGTCAGTCTTGTCGCTTGGGCCACCCAGCGGCCTGCGGGAAAATATTCCTTACAACTGCATGCAGCAGCCGTGAGGCAGATGGTGCATAGTTTTGTTGCTTGCCGTTCGGGACCCATCGCGACTGCGCGTCCGGTCAGCGCGTTGCTGAACGTCGGGAGCCCCGAGCTCGTGCACCAGTAGTTCGAAGTGTCGATCGTGACGCTCCTGCTTCCTGTCAAGATTCCTTTACCCCCTTTAGTAAAAAATTTGAAGTGCATGGACCCTCCTGCCCACCGTCCCTTCTTCCTGTTCCTGCGCTTATGACATGCTTGAAATACTTTAACTCGGAACGGATATATATATATATATATATATATATATATATATATATATATATAATATGCTTAAAATGCTTAAAATGAAGTGTGTCAGGGAGCCCGGAGAAAGGGAAGGGGGCGGGCAGTGCCAAGGTCGAATAAATGTTGTGCATGCATCGCCTAAGTTCAACGTTAAGCATTCGAAGTGCGGGCCGTCTCCTTCTGTTTCCATGCCCATGAGGCTGCTTTGCAATGTGTGAGAACTCTGATGATAACATTTGTTCTATATTGGCTATATCTGGAGTTTAAATCTCGACTGGTACGTTGACGATATTATATCGTCCATCTTTTACGATTCGACATCCAACAAACATTATTGCAGTATATTAAACTGAAGTAACCTTGATATGACATAGCCTTAGATATGACTCATCTGTGACGCGCTTTACGGTGGTACTATGGGGTGGTGTGTTACGGTATGGTGTTGAGTCTGTTCCAGGGCCTTGGGCATTGAGTTGGGCCGTTGCGCTGATTGTGCGGTCTTCGGGACACAACCGCTGTTACCTACTGTTCAGACATTTCCGCTCGGTCAGGCTGTGGAGTGGGTGATACGATCCGCACCTCATTATCCTAGATATGTTTAGCTCTGGCCCAAATTACAACAAGCTTAAGACCAACCTGCGACTGGCTGTCAGCAGGCTGAAACTACTGGAAAAGAAAAAAACGGAGCTGGCACAGAAGGCAAGGAAGGAAATAGCTGACTACATTGCAGCAGACAAAGTGGAAAGGGCGAAAATTCGAGTGGAACACATCATCCGTGAAGATTACCTGGTGGAAGCCATGGAAATTGTGGAGTGCTACTGTGATCTGCTGCTTGCAAGGATGGGTTTGATTCAGCAAATGAAGACATTGGATGAGGGGCTGGCAGAGCCCATTGCGAGTATCTTGTGGGTTACTCCACGTCTGCAGGCTGATATTGCTGAGTTGCAAGTCATTGCAAGCCAGCTTGGTACCAAGTATGGACAGGAGTATGTGCAAGCATGCAGGGAGAACAGCATTGGAGCTGTGTCACCAAAACTGATGCACAAACTGTCGGTCCAAGCCCCACCCAAGATTTTGGTGGAGAGATACCTGTGCGAAATTGCAAGAAACTATAACGTGGCATATGGGCCGGACCCACAAGTGATGGCAGAGGATGAAATGCATGCTACTGGTGAAAACCTCATCAACTTCGGTGGCACTGAGGACAGTGGTGCTGGAGGTGGACCCAAGAGCAGTGGTGGGAGGAGGAGGAGGAGGAGGTGGGTTTTCAGAACCTCCCATGGGGGCTTCAGGCATTGTCCTGCCCACAGTTCCATCAGATGCAGTGGCACCTCCTCTGGGATTTGTTGACCCATCAACATTTAAGGCTCAGTAGGTGACCAGCCTACCAGCCTACCCAGCCCCAGGTCCCAGTACAATCCATATAATGTGAACTTCAATTCCTCCAGAAAAGCCACTGAACACCAACTTCAACTACCCAACCCCAGCACCAAGGTCAAAGGTAGATAATGCACTGAACTTGCCTGATGTCCCTGCTGAATTCAACACATTTGGGCCACCAGCTTCTGGTACCAACTCAGCACCAACAGGAAACCCAGATGAAGAAGCCAACTTTGATGACTTGACAAAGAGGTTTGAAGCCTTGAAGAAAAGGAAGTAGTCATAGTGGGTGATGGAAAGAAATGTATGCATATGCTTTCACCAAGATGTGTTGATGCAGCAGGGCATGTACTATGCCATCAGATGCTGGGACTGGCTGCCACTGCTAATAGGATAGTGGTATTAGACTGCATCAACTTTAATTTAAGGGTGCTTCAAGTATGTTGAATGACTCAATGTTATGCTAACAATCTTTTGCTCTTAAAACTCACATAGAAGAGCAATTATGAGATTTGCTGCAATTGGGTATGATGGGAAGAAATGTGATTGCTTTATTTGGAGAGTAACATATTTTTGTAAACCCATGTTGGATCTCAGTTGAAACAGCAACTTGTGACATTTCTGGACAATTATTATAAAAGATCAATGGCCTGAAAATGCTTGGGAATTTTGGTCAGGAGAATAAGCATGACATGTATGGTCAGGAAGATACTTTCAAGGTCAATATGGCAGAATTGAACTGGGTTCTGACACTTGAGTGTCATTGTTTATAAGAAGTGCATGTTGTGTTATGTTGTTGCAAACTGGCCTGAATGTGCTTCATATTTTGCTTATGTAGACAGAGTGGGCATATGGTGGGTAGGGAATGAACTGCAGTTGTCTTTGTAGCATGTCTGCCTTTGTTTTCTTGATTGGACAGCAGGTGCCATGCAGTTTGAGCACTTGGAAACTTAATTCTGATACACTGGACTGTGTGACAACTTGATAGGTCTCCCAACCAAAGTGTGCACTTTGACTGTGTGAGTGTATGCACTGCTTTCATGCTTAATACAAAGGAAAACTGTCATTTTCAGCCACCTCTTGCAATGCATGTTGACTGTGAGGTGATGTGCCTCTCATATTTGAGCATTATGTGCAAGGTCAGTCATAAGGTACTCGGTTTTTCAATGTGTCATATCTCCCTTTCACACTATGTTTTACACCATGTGCAGACCCCATGCTCTTGGGTTTTCCCACTGAACAAGGATGCTCTGAGAAATGGCACTGGACATGCCCCCATACACATTGCCTACCATTTGTTGTGTGTACAGTGACATTCGTGACTCTCGACAGTCATCTTAAAGCTCACTTTCACGACAATCTCGGGGCGACCGGTCGCCCAGGTGCGGCTCACAATGACCACATTTCAGTAAAGTCGCTTTTGAGCTAGCGTGCGCGGCGTCATTTATATTGGATGTTCGCTGCAGCACTCGCTTCACACGATCGGTGATGCGACGGCTGCCTTGGCTAGGATGCTTTCCGGACTATCGGCAACCATATCGGCTATCTATCTATCTAACCAACTATCGGCCCGGGCATTATAGTACATAAGTTGTGGGCAATGCACAAGCGCACTTCGTTTCGTATGCTGGGCGTATTGGAGTCCCACGTGAGCATGAGCAGGGGAATGCCAGCACTTAACTCCAGGTCCTTGGTCCAGATGTAGTCGCCGTTTCCATAACATCGTCATAGGGTTTTACTGTTCAAAGCTCCCTTGTCGAAGAGCGCTGGTCCTCAGCCCCCCTCCCCCAAATTCATACATCGCTTCTGCCCCTCTGCTCCGTTGTCAAGACGTGTAAAGCACTCTTGCTCGCGTCGGCATGACCTCATGTACTTTGGCAAAAGCCCAGCTGAAGGCGTCGTGGGACCGCTGCAAGCAATGCTCCACCCAGTGCATACAAACACGTGGTTCCAGAGGATCTACGAGCTACGTCACTCTCAGGACTCCCGAAAAGGGTTCTGATGCCTGTAAACTAAGGTATATTCGTCCATAGTATTTTCGACATCCGCCACAGAAGGGATTTCATGTATGGCGGCAGAAGCTCCCTGCCGGATAAAACGTTGATCCGCGTCAACAATGACTGGCGCGTAGCTAGGGGCACCAACTATCCAGCCAGATAACCGGCAGGCTCCACTATCGCTGCGCGATTCTACATGCTATTACACGCAAAGCCATTGGCCCGGGACTGATCTGCAGGGTGGCCACCGCCGCCACTCCCCCCCCCCCCCCGTCCCATGGGTGATAAAAATTGGTGTCCCTGTGTCGAGGGCACGTGACACTTGCCACGTAAGCGGGGAGCCGAGGGCATCATATTGAACGTCAAACGTGTGCCGCGTGAGTAAAACAACGCTCCAAAACAGCAGTGTGTCTGGGAGCCGAAATTCGCGACTTTGCAAGTTTTTTTCTCAATTTAATTTTTCATTCCTTTCTTATAATTTTTTTGCAGACGAAGTTTTGCTCCATTTTGGCGTGCCAGGTCAACCGAATGCTTGCTACAGGGCGCCCCTTCCTTACTCCTGAATGAAAATCCTGGATCCGCCTCTGTCAGGGATGTTCGTCACACATTGGCGACATTAGGTGTGACACAGTGCGAGTACTCAGTCCTCGGGGAGCGCGCACATTGCTCAGACGTGTTCCACGGGATTCCGCTAGTCAGACATGGCACAACTGTGGGACAGCTTTCAGTGCGACACAGCAGCTATACTACCAGATGTGTGGATAGAAATCAAAATAAATGGAACTGTCAGTTGGATCATGGATCGGACCCAAAGAAGTCATGAATTCAGGGTTACAACCCCCTACCATTGGACCAATCCAAATAACACGGTGCGCCTTTGGGATCTTAGTTACATCCCAGTACACAGCATTAGCTGATCGATGATCAGTCTAACGATTGCTTTCACGCGCGACAGAGGCAATGGGTAACGAGCGCGCAGCCTAGCACAATGACCGGCAAACAACACTGCAGTAGGCAGTCGCCATGCGACAGCAAGTGGCGTGGGCCCGCCTATCGGAGCCGAGGGGGACAGCGCTGGCGCGGCGCGGCTCCCGCGGAGGAGCTCAGCGACCTTCGACGCGACGGAGCGCGGGCGGCACCGACTCGGCTGCCAGGGGGCACTCCCGCACCGGACGTGACGGCGGATGACGTCGTCGGGCCTGCCGGGCATCCGCGGCTCGCGCGGCCGGCGGTCCGGCTAAAGTTCCTCCGGCCATGGGGATGGGTAGCCCATGGAGCGCAGCTTGTTGGTCTGCACCTCGCGGTACAACGGCCTCCGGGAACGGGTTGACGGTGAAGAAGGCTAGCAGCGCCACACCCGTGGCCAGCACCACCACCAGCAGGCTGTTGAGCAGAACGCGCTGGCGGCGCGGCTGCCGGATGCTGCTGACCTCCAGCAGGTGGCGCTGCAGCTTCTGCCGGCGTGCGCCTTCTCGGCCGCGGCGCTCTCGTAGCCGCATATCCAGTTGTAGGCCCGCTGCCAGACGGCCGGCTCTGGGGGCGGCCGGCGTGTCATCGCGCCGCCAGCCGGCCGGGTGTGGGCTCAGGCTGGAGAAGTCTGCGGGGTTGCCGCAGGCCTGCCACAGTCAATAGCGCAGCACCGCGAATTAGGATGGGCCGTCGGGACGGTTCATCGCAACTAAATGAATCGCCTCGACCTGAAACCTCGAGCCGAGAGTTCAGACGGCTACCGAAAACACGGGCCGTTTTGAGGCATGGTACTCAACAGCCATTTGCACGCGACGCACGGTTGATCCCACCCGCATCAAAGGTGGTACGTACAGTTGTGCAATACGCAGACATATACACACATGGTCGCTCCGTCCGCACTCATCATGCGCACCTGTGGCCGACGCAGGTTCGCAGCCTCCTCTCACCTGGACGGTCCAGCTCGTCTGTCTCCAGAGCGAACTTGTCGGTGTCGGCCGGCTCGGCCGGCGCCGCCTCATCCTGGCGCCTCTCCTCCGAGAAGCGGGTGAAGAAGGTGGTGCGGATGACGCGCCAGTGCTCCGGCGGCTCGGTCAGCAGCGACACGGCCGCCGCCACCACGCCCGTCAGCCAGAACAGCAGCATCGCGAAGTACATGTAGTGCATCTGAAGTCAGCAAAGCACGCTGAACACGCAGCTGCCGGTTGGGTGCCAACGCTCTAGCCTCTCACAAGCTTTGCGTTTCGTCCTGGTCGAATTTTGTGAGGTTCGTTAAAGGAAGTGGGTCTACTGCGGAAGTTACTAGATATCATTTTTAGGAGACGAGCGTTTAATTAAGCAAAACTTCAACGGTAAAAAAACGCTTAACTGAAGCATTTTCGCTTGTACACTTTCTCGCCGGCAACAACGCCGTGGACTAGTACACCGTCATAAATGATGTGCCTCACCCACCCCCACCTGGTTTAGATTTTTTAAAAATCGCGAATTAGCATAGCGTTAAGATAAAAACACGGCAACAAGAAACAAACACTAATGAATTGAAAGGGTATGTGAAAAACTTCCGCAAACTTTTTCTTTGGTAGGCCCAACTTCGTTATGAACAGGCGGAAGAGGTTGCTGCAAAACCCTCGAGACTTTACAGGGTGAACTAAGATGGACTTTGATCCGCAATAGCCGGAGAGAAGCGCCGTCACTGCCCGAAGCTCCTCGCCAGCGACTGACGTTCTCTCGCCGGGGTATTACGTCACCGCGCTTCTTCGGCTCGAACTCCAGCGGAGGCCGGCGCATGTGATCTTGGCAGCGGCACGCATGACAACCTTGGGCCTGACGCCGGGCGGGCGGGCCCGTGCCCACCACCCGTCAGCGCGCATGTCACTCCACCCCACCTTGGCCACGACAGCCGGCCGGGTGTCCTCAGTCTCCCCAGCACTTTGGCGCGTCGAACATGTACACGAAATCCAGCACCATCCGAATGACGCCAACGATGAAGCCGCTCATCAGTCCCCAGAAGGCGCCCTGCCAGCGGAGGTGGCCGGTCAGCCAGGTCCCGTGGCGTCTCCTGACGATTCACCCGTCGGAGCCATCATTCACAGTGTCCTGTTACCCCTGATCATTCAGCGTCGGATAGATGAAGTAGCCGTGATCGGACCCGCAGTACACGCATTGCCGCAACAGCTGGCGACATGTTAGGCGAGTCGTACAAGCCTGGGCCCGGCCGTGGGACGACCACCGCGGAGTCGAGTATCGCCCCGGAGGCAGCGCAGCCCCGACGGCCAGCGCGATCGACACGGTTACACGTTGGAGGTAATCGCCAACGATCTGTATACCGTTCGCTAGTCAGTGTTACACCTTCTTCGAGTCGGTTCGTCGCCCGTTACGTAGTTAATTACATTTCAGTTCATAGTTACGTGATGTTGTAGTTGTGTTGTAACCATATACTAAACTTGTTGTCTTGAGACACGCACAAGTACAAAAAGACACGTAGCATACCAAAGAACGCCACCTCAGATCCCAATCCTTCAGTGGATGATGG